TTCACAGACGCTGTCGTAGTTCAGCTGCAGCCTTGAGCTCCTGGGCCGCAGCCATCCTCCTGCCTCAGCCTCCAGAGTAGCTGGGACTGTAGGCTCCAGCCACTGTGCCTGGCCAAGTATTTTTAATAAGCCAAAGGTTTTGATTTCTCTGACAATAGGGGGCTGCCCATCTCCTCCCTATTTCTCTCCCAGGCTGTGGGGAGAAATTCATTTTTGTCTCATTTTTGTCTCAAGAAGGTAAAACAGTGTCAAGTGTAAATAGTGACCTGGGACGAGTAATTTGCTAAGATGAACACGCAGGCCAGACAGGCCAGAGCACATTCCTGACAGTGCGGCCTCTGGCTGCAGGAGGGACGGGGTGCACGGGGTGGTGCCGCTGTCACACAGCCCCCTGGCTGGCTGCTGCCCTCTGGCTGGAGAGAAGAAGTGCAGAGCAGGAAGTTTTGGAAATAACTTGGCTTCTATTTTGCAAGGCATTCGAGTCACGTTATGGTCCTTTTAAGTCACGTTGGCAGCCCGGACGTGTGACCAGCTGCCCGTCCTGGCCTCTGGGGCCGGGGTTGGCTGTGGCAGTCTCCCACTGTCAGTTCTGATTTATGTTGAGCTGTGTGTCTGCTGTTATTTATTCCCTGAGAGCCCCGTTGACCAGAGGATTTTCTTCCTTTGCACAGATTGATCCTCAGTGTCCAGGATGACAAAATACTCCAAATATTTTGTCCTTCAGAATGTATTTATGGAGCATCTATTTATGCTGAGTACCCGGGACAGAGCGGTGAATATGGCAGACACAGCCCCTGTCTTTGTGGAGCTCGTTGCATTGTAGGATCATATACTGTGATGTAGGATTGAATAATATCACTGACCTTGTTAACCTGAGCTCTCCAGGGGCCTGTAAATCCCTTATACTAGGCATTTAGGCTGAGTTACTTTTCTGTAGTTTCTCTTTCTTTCTAAGGCAGTTGCTGCTAAATGTATATTTAGGGAAAACAGCCATAGTATGACCCTGTAGGTAAATTTTTGAGCTATGAGTACTCACAAAGAATAGCTTAATTGAGAGATTCTCTGTATGTGTTACTGATTACACCTGTTGCTAATGCTGGTGCATTTCTCAGGGAATACGGAATGGCCTTTCACTTGGTTGTTTCCTTTTCTCTTCTTTGGTAATAATTTTCTTTTTATCCATGCATTTATTGGGGCTTTAGTTTTCAAGGTGATTTTGCCTAGTATTGTTTCATGCCCAGGCAGCTTTCAATAGGTCTGCTATATATTTTTTAAAATTTTGTTTTTTTAATACCAAGCAGCATTATAAGTTTAAAAAAACCTAAATTTTGGAGATTTCAAACATATACAAAATGAGACAGACTAGTGTAATGAGCCACTGACCCTTCCCCCTGCCCCAACAGCCCTCAGCCCATGGCCAGTCCCTCCTGGTCTACACTCCCATCTGCTTCCTCCACCCTGTGCAAAGAAATACATAGATGTCATAAATATTTAAGCATGTTTCTCTAAAAGATAAAGACTGTTTCTTAATATTACCACAATACTATTATCATGCCTAAAAAAATTAAAACTTATCTTGTAGGGAGAGATTTTAAGGGATATAAGAGGAGAAAAATTTAGTCACAAACACCTAGCCCAACCTACCACCTCTTTTCTTTTTTTCCTGTGTTCTCCAGTTTTTGACCAAAAGCATGCTGACATTTTGTAAAAGCAATAGCAGTCTCTGCTCCTTAGCAACTTTTCTGGGTATACTTGTTGTGATTGGGGTAAAGATCAGCTCTCCGTTCCTCCATCTAAGAGGAACCGAGACCATGTTTATGTACTCTGGGTAATTCCCCAGAGCCTCTTCCAACTTCTGAAGCTCCCTATTCATTCAGCAAATATGTATTGAGAAGCTTATGTGTCAGTTGCTGTTAGATGGTCGTAATTATAGTGGAAAAGAAGACGAAGAAGGCCCTAGATCTGTTGGAACTCACAGTTGGTAGGGAAGCAGCCTCGTGTACGTAAGGATACTAGCGGGGTGGGTGTCATGGAGAAGTGTGGGAATAGACCAAGGCCTGAAGGGTCAGGGAAGGGATTCTAGAGGGAGGGGCCTTTCAGATTGGCCCCTGGAGGAACAGAAGGAAGGCAGAGAGTCAGGAGTGCGGTAGGGGGTAGGGTGGGGATGTGGAGAAGAGCCCCCCATCCTGGGCCTGCCTCTTCCAAATGGCCCTGGGACCTGAGGGCCAGGCTCTCGGCTTCCTCACCCCTTGAGACTCTGAGACGCCACATGGAAATGTGGGTTCCAGTTCCGCTCCGACTCTTAGCTGTTTTGGGGGTGTCATAGTCTAGGAAAGAGCTTCCATTTGGAAAGCACTTGTAAGCTGCCATCTTGGAAGAACTAATAATGTTTACATAGTAGGGTTATGGTGAGGATTAAAGAAAATATAATGTATAACAAATATATAATAACATATAGTAAAATTGCTAGGCAAATATCTTTTTCTTCTCTCTCACCTAAGTGTGTCTTCCCTCTCCCTGTTGTGGCCTGGCAGCTCCCCAGACTGCCTCAGCGGTCCTCTCCTCCTGGAGTGCCCCACGCAGTGTCCGTGGCCCTGCTCCTGAGCAGAGTCCTGGGGCTGTGTCCTTCCTGGGGGCCTTTTATTTAGACCCTGACACATAAAAATGATCAATTCAAACATAACGCATTTAAAATTTTTTTTTTGCCAAAAAAACCTCAAAGGGTACAAAAGAGCATAAAGGAAAAAGTGAAATCTCATTTTTACTGAGGAAATTGTGATGAAAGGTTTGAATTCTGTCTTTTTAGATGTTTTACACACATAAACAAACATTCCTAAAACAAAAAATGGGAATATGAAATTTACTGTTTTTCACTTAATACATCTTGGATATCTTTCCATGTGCTCAGCTTCTAGATCCAGGACCTCTCAGGCAGTGTTCCACAGACCCTTGTCCTTGCATTGTTTGTGTTTTCCTCCCTCGGTGTTGGCCCTCATCCCCCTGCCAGGGCCAGGAGACAGGATCCTTTGTATCCAGCTACCTGAGTTTTCCTGCAAGCCAGACCACCCCTGAGAATCTTTGCTTTGCAGAAATGCATATCACCAAAGCCTTATGTAGTTGTCATCAGCTTGTTTTTCAGGAACTGGGTGGAGTTCATGACTGAAAGAGCACGCTTTTGTTTCCTGGTATGTGGCGAGTTTCGTTGGAATGGTTCCTCTTCCTAGTTTTATTTCTAGTAAATTAGGGATAACTTAATGCCAGCTTGTCACGCCACTGAGAGCCATGAACAGCTCATTTACCCAAACTGACACACAAATTTCCAAGATAGCATCAGTGCCTGTGAAGCCCAGGAGTGAGGGACTCGGGTGGAAGCATTCACCAGAAACAAGTACAAAATGTCATAGACTCTTGCATCCCATCTTTTCCCAAGTATGTGCAGAAGGGTGGGAAGCAATGGATATTTTGTTTTCTCACTTTTTAAAAAGCTCGCATTGTAAAAAACAAAAAACCAAAAAAAACCCAAAACAAAAAACAAGCAATACAAAAGGGTAGAAAAACAAAAGCGAAAGTCATTGCAATCCCAGAACCCCTACACCACCGCACTGTCCCCTCCTTAGAGAGCTCTACTATGAATAATGGGTCATGTATCTCTCTTGATTTTCCTTTGATTTTACAAATTTTAAATGAATGGGATCGTAAAGTACTACTGTTCTGCCATAATGAATGATTTTAAAATACAAACTGCAGTTTTGCATGTCAACAAATATTTTGCAAACGCATGGAAAGAATTGATGCAAAGGTGGTTGAAAAGTTAGCTGGAGAGCGGTTACCTGATGGAACTGGGGCTTCTGTGCTGTGGCATTGTTGAGGTTCAAGGTCAGCCCCAGGGAAAGTTGGGAGAAGGCCAGTTTGCCTGTGAAGTCTCAGTCCTTGGTGTTGGTTTTTTCCTCACCTCTGCCACCTCTGTGTTGTGGAAGCCCCTGCTCTGGCCCCTGCTTCGGCCCCTGCTTCTGACGTCACCTGCAGCGTGGGAGGTAGACCTACTGTCAGAACCACAGAGCCAGGCTTGAGTCTAGCTGTGTGACTGCAAGCAAGTTATTTAACCTCTTCCAACTTGCGGTTTCCCAGCTATGAAGTGGAGAGGACAATTGCTATGTCATAGAGTCGTTGTGAACATTAAATGTGCTTAGGAACATTTCCAGCTTATAGTAAGTGCTCAACAAATCTTGATATCCCGTTTGCCCGCTTCCTGAGTCTTCAGTCTATAAAGGGCTGTTAAGACTTCGACATTTTACCTTTTCTCAAGGGTATTTGCATTGAACGATGACCAAAGCTTTACCTGGAGGAATTAAAAGTCATCCGGCAGGAGCAGGGGGATTCTTTTGGGCTGAAGTCACACCACCTGTGCCTAGCTTTGCAGAAATATTTCATGAATGGTCACGGCCCGTTGTGTGCTAATCCCACTTCCTTTTCTCAGAACTTGACCCCAGAGTCAGCCGTATCCTCAGAGGACAGTTTGGCTGCCAGATGACTGCCAACCTCCACCTTAGGCATTTCGGACCACGTGTTTAATGGTGAGGTTGAAGCCACACAGAGGAACTGGTATAAGGGGAAAGACTGCATTACTAAGAGCATGAGAGTTCAAACACTGGCTCTTGTCATCAGGGACAACATGAGTCCATCTGGCACCTTTGTGAGAATTAGGAAAGGGTGCCCCCTCTGGGAAGATGGGGCCATGCACTACTAGGTCGGTGGACAGGGCCCTGTGGAAATTAACAAGAGGTGCTCTTCCCCCAGGGTAAATGCAGCCCCAGCCTATGTCACGTGTGACTTGACAAGCAGAGACTAGGCTGGATTTCTGCTCGACTCTGTCCCCAGTGCCAGGCACCCGGTGCTGGGCACAACTTGCATAATCACACACAGCGAGCCCGTTATTACAGCTGTTTTCAAGAGGCCTCAAGAGTCATTATTCTTTTTCTCTTTTCCTACCTTTTTTTTAGCATGTTGACCCAAGCAAAGGAGAAGCTACCAGGAAACTTCCTCAGGGTGTTGTGTATGGCGTGGTACGAAGATCAGATCAAAACCAGCACAAAGAAATGGTGGTGTACGGCTGGTCCACCAACCAGCTGAAAGAAGAGATGAACTACATCAAAGACGTGAGTCATTTAAGGATTTTTTTCCTGGTTTGTATTGTTCTTGTAGCATGTAAGAAGATGGAGTTGGAAGCATCGATGTCAGCATAATAAGGCATTTTGAAAGAATTCTTTGTGTTGCCATTTTAGATAGAAATGTTTCTATGTATCTTCATGGTAAAGTTAAAAAGTACAGATACAATTCTGCAAGGAGAGAGAGGTTGAACTTCTACGGGATGGACGTTACTGAGTAGGTGTACCCAGGAGACCAATGGCTTCCTTCTTCTGGTACTGTACGGAGGCTCTTAAGTGGTTTTGCTTATTACACTGGACACACCTAATGTAGAAGTTTGGACAACTGTATATATTTGGATGCTTTTGGCTGCAAATAACAGAAAAGCCAACTCAAAAAGGAAATTTATCTCACATGGGGACAAGTTTAGAGGTGGGGGGGCTCCAGGCAGGGCCCATCCAGGCTTTAGTTCTGTTTCTCTGTGTTTACATGTCTCCTTCCTCCTGCAGCCTCAGGCTCCAGGTATCATCTGAAAATATGACAGTGTCTGAAGGAAGAAGAGAGGCCACCCTCCTCTGGGTACTTTGTAGAGGCCCACTCTCCATACCCAGTAAATTACCCTCATATCTTTGTGGCCAGCACTGGTTCACTGGCCCAGTCCCCGCCCAGTCCTGGCCAGGGGAATAGGAAAGCTCTGGCTGGTTCAGGGCGGGAAGTCGAGTTGGAACAAATTCTGCAAAGTCAAGTATAATAGGCGTCGTTCAACCAAGCCAATCAGTGCCATTTCTTTGTATTCAATATTGTATTACTTATTATTTTTTTTTGTATTACTTATTTTTTTAACTACATATTCTTTTGAGAAAATTTGGGAAATACAAAAATATATGAAGGAGGACACAAAGTCACCCATAATCTCACCACTCAACCAGAACAGTTGTGAACATTTTGGAGCGTGGCCTTCTAATCTTTATCTATCCATCTCCATTTCATTTTGTTCTACCCAGTGTCACCCTAGATTGTCTGATGCCCCTGTTGCCAAATCAGATTGATTAGATGACAGAGGAAATGGGATGCCCTGACACTGATGGGCCCAGAATTAGGACCTGTGGCTCGGAAGGTGCTTGTGAGAAGCAGAGGCAGTGTGGGGCAGGCCTCTGAACTCGCAGACCTTGCTTCAAGGCCCAGCTCTGTGCTTGGCCCAGCCTGTCACTTTTGCCCTGTGTAGGCTTCAGTTTTCTCATGTGTAGATTGTGGGGACAGGGCTGGGCTTAACTTTTAAGGTCAAAACCTCCAGCTCTCTGAGCCCCGTTTTATTAATATTTGGTGGGCTTCTGGATAAGATGCAAAGCTACGCTATCTCAGCTTTTGTATGAGTTGTTAAAGAAACATTTCTTACTGAATTTAGAAAATAATAAATTATTAACAGAAATATGAAGATTAACAGAAAATATGAAGAAAAGCCAGAAAAGCTACACACACACACACACACACACACACACACACACACACACACACACACACAGACACACACACATACAATGTATGTGACAAATACCAGCCTCAAATCCTGGGTTATCCTATTCAGAGTGTTTCATTCCTGATTTCCCTGTTGAGAACAGCTCAGGCATTCTAAGTTTCCTGTATTTTTCTCAGGAAAATACTTAAACCTTCCTCATTTACATGCACCAAACAGCATGGCATTTGCTTTAGAGATAAACCTTCTAAGCAGAGTACAGAGTTGCAAATTGCCTGAGATAAAGGCAGCAGGTTCAGGCTGATCGTGAGCCATGGATGACATGTGCCAAAGTCACAGGGCTGGCTCCGACCTGGGTTTGTCAACCTCCCCTGGAGTCTGTAACTTAAAATTAATTTCCAGGTCCCTCCTTCTACAGATGTTTTCAAATCTTTCCCTGGCCTGGTCATTCCTAAGTGTGTTTATGGGTTTGTCTACCACCTCTCCCTGGGGATTGTCCCTCTGACCCTGTTGGCTTCCAGCCGTGTTTGTCAGTGGGAGTGACACCCAGCTCAAGATTCTGCCCACTCACCACCAGGGAGCGGCCCAAGTGCCAACTCAGGGCCACATGCGAAAGCCGCTCTGCTGGCCTAGAATGAAAGTCACGGTTTTGGCTTCATTTTTCCAAAGTGTTTGTAGTTAATGACAAGAAAGTAGCCTCTATTATCAGAATTCACCTGGGAAAGGCTTAGGGGAAGGCTTAGGGTCTTGACTGCCCCCTTGTCCCAAATCTCCATCAATATCTCGTCACTCCTAATAAACATGCAGTCTAACTTCAAACCAAGTGCTTGCTATGCAAATACGCCTTCAAAGTTGTCTCCTAATACCGTCCCCGCAACTCTTGCATTCTAACCAAACTGCTGCCTTTAAGCCCTTCCTAAAATAGAAAATCTAGCGTGCACCTGGAGAAAACTCCCTTGAGACTTTCTGTCCCGTTGAGGATTCCTGAGCACTTTGTCCATCCTAGGGGCACCAGAAGAAGGGAGGAGACAGGGACTGTTTGTAAGGATTTTTGTTTTGTTTTTAAGGTTTTCAAGGCCTTATTATTCCTCTAATGGCACTGTAGAGAAACTTGAACAGTGTTTGTGTGAACAAATTTTTTCGTTGTTGTTACATTGAGCGCCTTGTATATTATTGGTGATTATTGAGGAACTGACTTTCACATTTATGGGCTCTCTAGGCTGGTATTTTCCTGCCTTACATTACAGATATTTAATTGCTCTTTGGCAGTCACAGCAGAGATAGGGAAAATTAGAGGTTGTATTTTAGTTTTGGAGTCTTTTTACATATGTTTGCAGAGTCAACTTGTTAAAAACTTTCTACTTATGAAAATGTGTGATAGGAAAGGAACAAACCTTGCCCAAATGTGGTTTGAGAGTGGTAGGTGAGTTTCAA